GACGGACGCACGGACGGCCGGACGGACGGACAATCATGCGATTCTACAAGCTGCACCTGACTACGTCAGATGAGCTAAAAATCCAATTAATGAATTGCACTAACCTGATGCTGTTGGTAGCATTTGTGATTCGGACATCATTTTGCTCAGGCGGTAGCGGCACTTGGTGCACACATGGCCAGATGCAACTGTGTTTTCACTGAAATGTACAAACACACTTGAAGTACATACTTTTAATTTTTACTCCATGTTTTTATTAGTTTAATTTTTTAATCTTGTGCAAACTAAACCATAATGACATAACTCGATTCTTATATTAATACAATTTCTACCTCTTAATGTAGTAAGCATAAATACATGTCTACATTAAGCCCTTTCAACAAAACCATGGATACCAATAACATAACATGCAAGCCATGTTAGCTTTAAATAGTAGAAAAATTGAGTTTACGGTACCAAAAGTATCGTTCCACTATTCAAGCATCAGAGACGGTTACTGATACTTGCACATGAAACAATCAATTTCAACATCTTACCATAGTTTAAATACAACCATGGAAAATAAAAACCGCAATTAAGCAATGGGCATGATAGCTTTAAAAAGAATACAGAAAAATGTGTTCACGTTACCCATCTCCACGTTCCACCTTTAGAGCATCACCGACTGTTATATCCTGTCCAATGAGCTTGCAATGAATGCTATATGAAGAATATCCTCCGGATTTTTCAGGTCTCTTTCGAATTTGAGTAGCACATCGTACGCACGTTCTTCTAGTTCCATTTCCAACCATGCTTCCACTACCAGTTCCAACAAATCAGTAAAAATTAAAATAGTAAATCTTATTGCACCACTAATAACTCTCCTAACTGCGGTAAACAACTCCTCACTGCAAAATAAAAGCCTAACGTCGGCACGAAAGGTGACTCTGCACTACGCTGCGTACTCCTCATATATAAACCCCATGATGTTCTACTCGGATTATGTATGGGGAGTACGCAGCGTACTATGATGCTGCTTCTTGGTCGTTGTTTGTTAACATACCTTCTTCTTTGGCTAATCGTTTTCAGTGGAGACGCAGTACCTTAACATTAATAAACAACTATTTAAAATTTTTGAAAATAGACTATACTGTCATTAATGATATATCTGAATTTATGTCTAGATCAGCAATGTTCAGAATTTTGCAAGTATTGGTAAATGTAGGTATGCTTATTTGTGACGTTGCCACAAATATAACAATAGCAAAGAGCACAGCGTTCGTATTTATTTTACTTCAATATAGAACCAGAGATATCCATAAGTAATATCAGTAATATTTATATATTTATTAAAAATCCAATTAATGAATTGCACTCATGTTTTTCTAACCTGATGCTGTTGGTAGCATTTGTGATTCGGACATCATTTTGCCCAGGCGGTAGCGGCACTTCTGGCACACATAGCCAGATGCAACTGTGTTTTCACTGAAATATACAAACACACTTGAAGCACATACTTTTAATTTTTACTACATGTTTTTATTAGTTTAATTTTTTAATCTAGTGCAAACTATAAACCATAATGACATAATTCGATTCTTCTTTTTTTCTTCTTTTTTTCGATAGCTTTAAAAAGAATACAGAAAAATGTGTTCATGTTACCCATCTCCACGTTCCACCTTTAGAGCATCACCGACTGTTATATCCTGTCCAATGAGCTTGCATTGAATGCCAACTGAAGTGTAGCCTCCGGATTTTCCAGGTCTCTTTCGAATTTTAGTTGCACATCGTATGCACGTTCTTTCAGTTCCAGCCATGCTTCCACTACCAGTTCCAACAAATCAGTAAAAATTAAAATAATAAATCTTATTGCACCGACTAATAACTCTCCTAACTGTGGTAAACAACTCCTCACTGCAAAAGAAAAGCCTAACGTCGGCGCGAAAGGTGACTCTGCACTACGCTGCGTACCAGTGTTGTAGGTCTCGAGACTGGTCTTGGCCTCGAGACGGGTCTCGAGACCGTTTTCCTTGGTCTCGGTCTCGGTCTCGGCCTCAGAGTGCAATGACTCGGACTCGGACTCGGACTCGGGGGGTGCGGACTCGACTACAACATACATACAACATACAACATACAACATACAACAACATACTCGACTCGAACTCCCCATACATAAACCCCATGGTGTTCTACTCAGATTATAGCTGCGTTCACACGATGATTTCAGTACTGTACTTAGCGTTCACACGTTAAAAATATTCAAGGCTTATCAAGGGTCGAAATTAGATTTTTATTATGGTATCCATTCGGGATACCAAGTATTGAAATCTGGTATCCCCCCCAAAGATCTGGTATCCCATTTTTGGATA